GTCAAATGTAAATATTCAAATAGTTAGTAGAACTTGATTTTCTTATTAATCCTATCTAAATAGTAAAACCTAAGGACAAACTGCAAGTTGAGCCTTTTAATAATATTAACATAAGGGTGTTTAATTTGCAGTTCTATGTAAATTGTAAGTCTTATAATTATTAATTAAAAAATTATTTTAATGTTAAATAATTTATCTTCACTAATAATTATAAAATTTATTGCTAATTTATAATAGATTATATGTCACTTTCTTGTTATATTAATAAACAAAACATACATAAAGACTATCTTGCAAGTTAAATAAACCTTCTCTCTCTACTCTAGAACTCTTCACCTTCTAACTACAACCTCCCATAGTTTTAGTCTCTTTTTGGTGCTCAGAAGCCCTTCGGCTTCTCAAGCATGGTGGAGCTGGCCAACCATGCCACTGTATCCAATGACCACTTTGGGTGGTCTATCGGCTTCTTTTGTGACCCCTTTCAATGGTCTTTGTTTCTTTTCTTTCTGTTACTTGTTTCTTGTTTTGTTTTACTCAGATTTGGTGGCTATCAAGCCAATAACAAAGAATTTGGGGGAGGGCCACCACTTGTTTCGATCTCCCAGCCACGGCATCCTAGAGAACGAGGATGAACTCTGCAAGGATAAATTGAAGGATGTCATGTTGTTCTAGAACATTCAACCAAAGGCTATTCCCTTAGAGGTTGTTCGTGTGATTTATGATCACCTTCTTTCTTTAAATTTGTTTTTGAACTTGATCTGCTCTTGATTTTATCTATAGTTGTGCTCTTTATTTTCATTTGTTCTTATCAATGATAAGAATTTTATATAGATGCCATATGGTTTTGGTTAATTCTCCAATTTTTGGTATGTTCAAAAAATAAAAATAAAAAAAACACACATATGCTAACACAATAATTTTTTATGCTAATTGATTCATTATTATCATATTGCTAGTCCACTTGGACCCCAACTAATCCTATATGATCAGATCTTGACCGATGTTTGATCTACTTTATTCATAAAAGGTTATTCATGTAATTTCATCCCATTTGCATGCATGTATACATTTACTTGGTTTCTCACTTCTTCACATGCACAGAGCCATGGACTTCCTTACCACTTTCTTCCTCTTTGCTTTTCTCACTTCATCCACCAAAACTCTAGATCCTTGTGCCTCCCAATCCGACGACTTTGATCTTTCCATCATTCCGATTGACGGCAAATGCTCGCCATTTAACCCACCTAAACCTGACTCATGGCCTCAAAGAACCCGGAAAGAGTCAAGTACCTGTCCACACTTGTGGCCCAAAAAACTACTTCTGTCCCAGTGGCCTCCGGTCAAAAGGTGTTCAACATCAGCGACTATGTCGTCCGGGCCAAGTTAGGCACTCCGGGTCAACTCATGTTCATGGTTCTGGACACCAGCAGTGACACTGCCTAGGTCCCATGCTCCGGTTGCACTGGATGCTCCACTACAACCTTCACGCCCAGGGCGTCCACCACTTACAAGTCTTTGTACTGCTCTGCCGCCCAATGTACCCAGGTCCGGGGTCTCTCTTGTCCCACAACCGGATCTGCCGTCTGCTCAACTAAGAGTGTAATTATTATATTTTTTATTATTAATTTATATAAAAAATAAAAATTAACTTAAATTTTATTAATTATTTAATTAAATTATT